GTTTATTCCAATCAAATGTATTACCAATAACGTCTGGCCAATACTGATACAAATAAAAGACAATGAAAAATATAGATCACAAAGAAACAAAGCAAAATGATTGCAGACATAAAATTTAAAAAACAACATATTGAGCTGTGTAAGTATAAAAGCAACAATAGATCAGAAATTTATCGTTATACTCTAACTTTCTGTCAAAATGAGATTAACAATAATCAGGTATCAAAAACAAAAGATATATAAACATACAAATTTATCATAACTACACACACATACATTTACATCTATAGATGCTCTTAATAAGGCAAAAAAAAGGTAAGATAGTGCATTTTTCTATTTACAATTATTGTGATGAAAAATTATGTGCAGCACGTTTTCGATTGGGTATTTCTTCATTTATAAAATTAGTAGAAGTAGCACTTTCAGCTTGATCAACTGCAAGTGATATTGAATGAATCGGAACAGTTGATGAATCATGACTAGAGTAATTCGTTGTATCATTTATTGATTTAATATTGATCACTTCTTCATACGATGGTGGGATATCTACATGACACAAAACAAAAAATGAAAAAAACAAAAAATATTAATTACGTCACATTATTTGATTAAATGAAAAAACAACTAAATATTTACCTCTTGGGCGTAAAATACTTTGTTCATAACTGGGCAAACCCACATGGAATGGACTTGAATATCGATGGAAATCTCTAGAGAAAAAGTAACATTTTAATTTCTAATTATTGTAGAAAAAAAAACATATATACGATAACATACCCGTTGTTCATACTTGCAAAATTAATTGTGCCAGAATTTTGAGCTTGAAATCTTGCTTGCTAGAATAAAACTTTAATAAATATAAAAGAATTTCAATTAGTTTTTACTCTCATTCGTTGAGCATTCAGTTTTCGTAATGCAGTTAAGATTTTTTGAGCTGATATCCAATACATAAAAGCAAATATAATACCGATACCACTTAAAAAAAATCAACAACAATTAAACTTAGATCATTCGTACTTTTTGTTTTTTCTTTAATAAAATCAATACCCGAAAACAATAAATGAAACAGAAAATCTTTGTTTTTCATATGAAGCAAGTAGAGAACCAGCAACAAGTAATAAAATACCAAAAACTAAAATATAAAATAAATTTTCAATAGTTCGTATCTAAATAAAAACAAAAACAAAACAAACTTAAGAAAATAACTGCTGATATTTTTCTTTTTCTTGCAAGACTTTCAATTCGAGTATTAGGTGCACTATGTGGATTTGCAGATGTTGATGTTGCCATTATAATATGAATTGCATTCATTGTAATTTTTGAAGTCTTGTTGATTTACATTCTAAAAATGTAAATGATCTTTAGATCATACATTCATTCAAGTCTAGACAGTCTTTTTATGTTGATGCATCTAGTTTAGATCAAGCGATAAATTGTTATAGCACAATCTATCATATAAAGAAATCGATTGGTTCAGTTGATTTAACCAATGAAAAACGACATCTGTTAGGTTATTGTTATTTGTTATTCGTTCATGATTAGCTCATTCAGTTCTAGTCAATGTCAGGCAGTGGTACGGAGCGTTCAAATTTTCGTGGTAATCGTCCATTATCATCAAATCCACCACATTCAATATGTGTAACAGATCGAAAAGTTGTTTCATTTACACATTTATGGACAATCGATCATTTTCAATCATATTTAGGTTAATTATTTCTTTTTTTTATTTTTATTTTTAATACATTTATTTTTATAATAGATGATCCTCAATCACCTCGTGTTCTCTTTAGTTCTTATTTTTCTCCAAATTTTGGTCCACATACTGATACAAGGTTAATTAATCAATTAATTTTCTTAATTATTTATTTATTTATTTATTTTTAGTTGGTGTTTAAAACTTTATCCAAAAGGTGTTAATGAAAAATCAGTTGAATATATAAGTTTATTTGTTAAATATGTTCGTGGTCGTACTGATTTACAAGCTAAAGCTGAATTTTCATTAATAAATAGTCGTGGTGAATTTCATATTGTACGTAAAACGCCATATCATATATTTCCAACAGGTGGTGATTGGGGTTATTCTGAATATTTAATGCGTATGGTATTAACAACACAACGAAAATCAGAATTATTAAATGCTGATCAAAGTTTAAAAATATTTACACGTGTTATTATTGTTGGTGAATCATCATCATCTATAATACATGAAGAAAAAAAGAATACATATGAAAGTTTAATATCATTATCGACACATTTAAATTCATTATTAACATCTACTAAAGATAATTGTCATGATGTTACAATTATTGTACGACCACAACAATATAATAATTTAACATATGAAAATAAATCTTCACATGATATTCCATCATCATCATCATCATCATCGTCATCATCATCATCATCATCAACATCTTCATCACCGATTGATGGAGGAAAATCATCATCATCATCGAAAAAGAATAATAATAATAATTCTGGTGCTGGAAATCATCGAACAAAACGTAAACGATATAGTACAAACTCAGGTGGAAGTAGTGGTGCTGGAGAATCATCTGGAGAAGCTAATCATGATGAAACAACTTCAACAGCATTAGCACTTTTATCAACACCGACTAAAACAACATTTTATGCACATCGAAGTATATTAAGTGTAAGTTTAAATATTACAATCTGATCGGTTTTTCGTTTAATGAATTTATTGCACATTGATTAACTTTTGACTAATCAGAGAAGCTTTTCAAATGTTATACGTTGTTTTCAGTCGACTGTTTACCAGTTGATAAAGCTTCGGTATGCATCGAACTCGGGCTCTGGCTCAGTGTTTCGGTTTGGAAACTATTCAACCAGTTCAGATAGTGACGAGTATTTGGGTAATTGTTCAAGTGCTTCTTGAGGTATATAGGTAATCATAGAAGCACCGTAAGGTTTAGTTCAGTTCGAGTATGTCTAAGCATGGTTGGCCTTTTTAAGGATATCTGTATACCTTTAGTTTTTGGAGCATTTACGGCACTGTGTGTAAATCTATTGTCATTAAGCCGAAAGTCCTTTATTTTGACGTAATTCTGTTTTCTTTTATTAATTAACTGAAAATGACCGCATTCAAAATCTAATCCGAATATTCCAAATTCGGTGTATGCCTAATAAACCTTGATGTGAGTGAATAGAAGCTTACAAGAGTCCGTCTCCATATTTTGTTCTTGCAGAGTTATGACGCTTCTATTTCAAATTACATTAGAATATACATTGAAGAAATTCAACTTTGAAATTTTGTCTATAGATAGATCTCATGTTTATAAAAAAAAATTTAAATTGAAAAGATTGTATCAGAGGAAACTGTTTGAAAATTGAATATGTTAAACATTCTAAATCTTATGAACGATGCAGTTTGTTTTAGCAAAACTTTCAGAATATTTTAATAAGCATGAGATTTAACTACAAGCAAAATTCTTTAGTAAAATTTCTTCAAAACATGTCTTGATGGGAGATGAACTCTTGTAGACTTGTACTAGACTGATCAACTGATATTCAGTCGACTGAAATTATTAAGAAGAAAAATTATAAGTTAATCACATTTCAATAGATTAAATATCAAATGATCTTGAGACTCAGTCGAAGATAACTCTATATCACTCTTGTTTTTGTTATTCAAAAGCACCATTTTTGATTCGGTATTGAAATAAATCATCACATAAAAAAATAATATGCAATTCGATAACTATCAGTTTCAAACCTATCGTTTAGAAATCTTAGATATCTTACCTCGAGTAAAATAAACGTCCACATACAATACTTCATGTGCTAACTATTTTTGGGTTACATAAATTTCATCCCAGACCGAAAACCAAACAGAACCTTCGATACGGATTCAAATTTTTCTTATTAACTTCCTTAAAAATTCTGAATCTTATAAAACGTTAGTACACTCCGTTGTGCTCAGCAAGGTAGCATAGTCCATCGAGCACGAGTACGTACTTAAACTAGCTCATCTTTTATATTGTGGATTTCTAAGTAGTTTGTGGAGTAATCTAACAACTGATGACTTCAACTGAAGCAATTCAATTACGAAATTCATATAGTACTTTTCATCTACTGACACACACAATGTCATTGTTTCGAAATGCAATTTGCTGAACAAAACGCTACATCTATCATGTGATCTAAGTGCATGCTGTCATCCTACTGTGCCCTATGTTTTAATGAAAATGCATATAGCCGAAATGCTGATCTCTCAAGTTTTTTCTATTGAATTCTAATTCAAGTTTTGTTAGATAAAATATTAAATTCGAAAAAATCTTTCGCATGGCTTTCTGAATTGAAAAAAAATTTAAAAGTATCCAACAAATTGTCTTCTATACATGTTTCTTTCGTATTTTATCAATCATAAATCTGTTTTCCGCATTCAATTGAAATATTTTTTTTTCGTTTATATTCTAGGTTCGTAGTCCCGTATTTGCTGCCATGTTTTCACATTCGATGCTTGAAGACCAAAATTCAACAATTGAAATAACAGATTTACAACCTGAAACAGTTCGTGCTTTACTTGAATATATTTATACATCAAATGTTGAAGAAATTGATGAATATAATGCTGTAGAAATTTTTAAAGCAGCTGATAAATATGAATTAGAATTTTTAAAACAAAAAGCTGAATTAATAATGATGAATTCATTATCTGTATCAAATTGTACAATGCTTTATATAGTTGCTGATTTACATAATGCAAATGAATTAAAAAAACGTGTTTTAAATTTTATTATGCGTAATATACTTGAAGTAACTGAAAGTGATGATTGGCGTTTATTAGTTGAACAACATCCAGCATTAGCGACGGAAGCATTTGTTTATTCAGCTGAACATGCTGCTTCATGTGCTTGTTCTTCTTAACAAAGAAAAACGAAACGAAATGATTCATTTTTTTTTCTCATCTTTCTTTTTTCTTCGTTTTTGTTTTATCATATGTATATAAATAAAACTATTTGTGTATATGTACGTTTTAGATGTCAATATCACGTTCAAATAATGCTGGAACAAAAAATGGAAAAGATCAATTTAAGTATGAAAGTAATTTTTCTTACAATGGTTTCAAAAAGTCTTCATATTGAGTAAAAATTACATAAACTTCAATGTTTTTGCCTAATGTTTTGATTACAAATAGAGTTTGGTAAACTATAACGGCAAGCAGGAACTTGAAGTTGATAGAGTTTAATGTAACGTATTTGTGATGAAAACATTGGTTTTCACTCTAGAACTCAAAAAAGGTTTTTTTGACACTTTTTTAGTTTTCTACTATTTAACTGAGTTAATCTCCATTTTCTTATTGACAAAAAATAAAGATTCTTATGTCTATATTGTATTATAGATAGGGTACTCCAATTCGCTGTACCTCCATTTTCTAGAACAGTCGTAGCATGGATCTCTTCTCAATTAATGAGTGCGATCGTGAAATTTTCAAGAGAAACTTGACTGGAGCATAGCACTCACCAGAAAAAATTTCAAGATAAATGGCTAAAAATTGATCAGAGATATTGGTCAGTTTTCGATCATTCCCATAAACTCTCATGTAAAGATTATCCAAAGAATACTTCATAAATCAGGCAAACTAAAACTGTTTGATATGGAAGTTTTATTGTTCGCACTGACGAGGAAAAGTCTTACGAGTGATAAATTGCTTTTAAGTTGAGACTATATTCAGTCGATATAGACTAGTTAGTAGGTAAATATCCTCCAGTGCTTCGAGCTGTTGCGCCTTTGCTACTGAGATATTGAACTTGTAGTAGATTTTTTTCTGCGGGGCACCAATTTTCAAGTAAAATCACACTTTTGAATTTTGATCTGGAACTTCGTCTGCATAAAGGTCCAGATCAGAGTAGCTTGTAGGAAAAATTTTTACAATTATTTGACCAAGTTTCTTGGATATTTGAATTTCTCAAAATATAGACGTGTTACCATGATTATTGAAAAAAATGTGAATAGTTTGAAAGATTTATATTTCAGAGAAGCTTTGTCACAGAATTGTGACATTTTTTTTTTCTACAAGCTAGTCTGATTGGGTTCTTTATGTGGGCAAAGTCTCAGATTAAACTTCAAAAATATGATTTTGTTTGAAGTTTGGAATTCTATAGGAAAAAGCCACTAAAAATTCAATATCTCAACAATAAAAATTCAACAGTTAGAATCACTCTAGGATGTTTACTGATTGAGTAGACTCTATCGATTGAATATAGTCTCAACTTAAAAATGATTCATCACTTAGAGATCTTTCTTCGTGAACTGTCGAATCAGGAGTCTAACGCCATGAGATTTGTTTTCTATGTTGCGCTTTTATCTCCTTCATATGAAGACCAATCAAGTCCTGATTAGTCCTTGTAATCTGAGTTCAAAATGCTGTATTTGTGGTCGAACTATGAGACTAAAAGACTAAAGGTCGGGTACTTTTCACTTGGTAGCGGAACTTTTTGCAACCTCTGTATATTATGTTTCATTTATGATATTTATTTAGTCGGAATACAGTTAAGTCGGATAAAGATCGAGAATGTTATTCAGGACATTCAGTAATGGCACCAACTGGTCGTCGGCAAGAGGGTAAAGATTTAACATGGTAAAGTTGTAAAAACAAATAAATTATTAATAAAAACAGAAATGTTTTTTTTTATTATTAATTCAGGCATGCAAAAAATCGTGAATATGAACAACAAATAAAATCAGCAGAATTTCGTGCAGCAAAAAAAATTGAAGAAGACGCACTTATGACCGCATTAGGCATGAAAGTTATGCCGCCGCCGCCGCCGCCACCACCACCACCACCACGTTTGTCTTCATTTTTTAATTTCTTTTTTTGAATTAATATGAACTGATTCTTTTTAGCTGCTGTTACACCAACTCAACAAAAATCATCAAGTAAACGTGAACCACAATCAAGTTCAATTAAAAATGAACCAATGACACCAGCCATACATAATGATTCACATAATTTAAAACAACATCATAAAAATAAAAAACATGATAATCAATGGAAAGAAGATCGAAGACGACGAAGACAATTAAAAGCAACTGGTTCTGACGAAGAAAAACATGAATGGTCAGAAAATGATGAAGATGATTTAATAGATGATATTGATGATGAAGAGGATGATGAACGTTCGTGTTTTTTGTGTTTTGTTTTTCATTAAATAATTATTTATTTATTTCAGTAAAACAAACAATCGAACAAAATATGATGACTGAAAAAGAATTAGATGGATTTCTTATTGATCTTGTTAAGAAACATGGTTTGAAAACAATACAACGAACATTAAAATCAAAAAAGTATTTTTTATTCAACAAAAATTATTTTCATTTTTATTTTTTAATTCTATATAGAGAAAAAAAGGAACGCAAACGACAACATTCATCATCATCATCATCGTCCACTTCCGAATCAGAATTAAAACATAAACATAAGAAAAAACATAGTCATAAAGAAAAATCAAAAGCAAAAAAACATCATAGGACTCGATCATCATCAGAAAAAGATCATTCCAAACATAATCAAAATTAATAAAATCTTTATTTTTTCTTGTACAATTCGGTTTTGTTTTTTTTTTTCATTTATTAAAAGTCTCTAACAATAAAGATCGTATTTAAAAAATATCTTTATTTCAGATATGTTTAATCGATTGTATTCAATTTCATCTTATTCTGGTTATATTCAACGATCATTTACCATATGTCAAACATTACGTTTACATTCGACAAAAACTTCAACTAATAAAGATTCAAAAAAATCATCAATAAAAAGTAAAACACCTGTGGGTAAATTAGATGAATATACACATCCCGATGCCGAAAAAGAACCATTAAAACCATGGGCGAATAATACAAATCCAGTCACCGGTGAAGTCAATGGACCACGTGGACCCGAACCAACACGTTATGGTGATTGGGAACGAAAAGGGAAATGTGTTGATTTTTAATATTTATTTGTTTATTTTATTTAGTTAGCATGTTTTTTTTTGTATCTTTATTAATAAATAGATATACAGACCATTCAGTATGAAAATACAAAAAAATTAAACGATTATTCGATCGTTTCTTCTGCTACTGAGAACACAAGAATATTTTAATCAACGAATAATAATGAAAAGAAAATTAGCTATTCTTTTACCTTTAAACTTTGTGTATCTGTTAAAATTGCGGACACTACTAAAACTGCAACAAAAAAAGATCGAGTTCAAAATGAATTTCTAAGGAAACTTATTCTGAGCTGTGCTTTTTGTTTTCAACTGGAATATAGACTATTTTTGTGGACACGAATGCCTATGGTTACTTTGGTTTTTACTTATATAAGATGTTTTACAAATAAAGCATTAAGGTAGCTATTGTCATCTTTTACAATTGAAATCAAAGTGACCAGTGTTTTTTTACAGGTTTTTTTTCTTTCGGAGGGTAAATATTAAACTCTGAGAAGACGAACATTTATTTTTGAGAGTGCAGATACACAGTACATGGTAGAAGAATCATAAACTCCGAAAGGACCAACCTGATTTTCAGTGGAATACCGCCCTTTCAGCCCTCACACACTGAATAAAACACTTCAAATAACTGTGAATGTCCGTGTCCACAAAAAAGACTACATTCCAGTTGAGAACAAAAAGCGCGACCTGCAATACATGTTCATATAGTACACGTTTTTGAACTCGATGTTTCTTTACAGCTTGGACGGTGTCCGTGAATGTTCGCAGTTTTTACAGATATTCTTAAACTTCAAAATATTGTGCAATTCTTGATGAAAAATTAAATATTGAATTAATTAAACTTGTTTTCAATGAGTCAAATACAATTGTTAGTATAAATTCCATTCAATAAAGAGAAAGTTTATCAATCTCATCACATAAATTACGACAGACACGAAATAACTGTCACCATTTATGATGCACAGCGAGAAATTAATTCTACAGGACAGATCATATCAAATATTTTCAAGAAATTTTTCTACCGTGAAATATCATAATAAATATCAACCGTAGTTCTCTCAACTTTAAACAAAAAGTTATATAACTAAAAATTTGTTTATAATAAAAATCAATTTCGTGACGTTTCATATTCACCAAATATACTGTTAAAAGCTTGTCTTTTGATATATTGTTGGTTGTTGAAAAGCAGTTAATAAATTATATGAAGGAAAGTAACCACAACAGACATTCTTTTATTAAAGAAATACAAAGAAGAAAATCTTTCGACCTTCAATAAGACATCATCACTAGGTACTTATGACCTAAGACATACGCAACTATTTCTTTCTCATTTTCTTTTCTGTCGTTCTTTGCAGTGTTCAGAATGAAAAGAAAAACAAGAAAGAAATAATTGCGTATATCTTAGATCATAAATACTAATGATGACATCTTATTGACTTACTTTGTGTTGCTTACTGCTATAGTCTAATAACTAAAGTCATGTCTAAATAAATTTTTACTATTGTTAACATTTCTATAAATATACGAAACTTAAATATGAATTTAAAAAACAGAATTTTATATTGAGATAAAGTGAGTTTATTGATGAATCTATTGATAACAGATAAAATCTAGATGTAATTCCAAACGAAAGAGAGAGAGAAAAAAAAATAATAAGTTCAATTTAGTTTATTTAATGTGTATTATCAACTGTTGAATTAACCGAACCAGCAATTGAACATGTTGAACTTGTTGGTGATGTCGATGTAGGTGATTTAAGATCATCTTTAGTATTAACATTTTTCATTGAACTATTGCTATGATCACCACAACCAAGTGCACCAGCTTTTCCATTGCTCATTGTAGCAGTATTTTCATGATACGGAGCAGTAATAACAAGTCGTTTACCATCATGAAGAAACGAGCGCATATGTTCAACATCAATATTCTAGAAATAATCAAATACAAAAAGAAAAACAATGACATTTCATTATTAGAACTGAGTTCTATAAGTTCGATCTAAACCGGTCGTAATCAGAAAAAATCGATCATCGAACTCAATCACTTGTCGACTCATGAGAATATTAACTTACTGGTGGTAATGTAACAGCTTTATAAATATATGAACGAGCTGTATGATGTTTATCTGATGCACTTGATTCACCCTAGAATTAATTGAATAATAAGTTTACAAAAACAAAACTTCAAATTGTATATTTACTTGAACAATTAAATCACGATCTTTAAGATGAATTTGAATTTGATCTGGTCGAAAACCAGTCATATCTAATGATAAATCAATTTTCTTTGTTCCTTTTTCTGTATCATCAGTAATTTTAGGTTCGAATGCACTTTTAAAAAATTCATCAAAATTAAATTCTTTCAAATTAGAACCAGATTGTTGTAATTGATGATGATGATCATCTATGCAAAGAAAAAAAATCGAAAAACTATTTTCACTAGAATTTATACTAAACATTTACCTCGTTCTTTATTATGTGTAATTAATGGAAATTCAACGACCAATGTACCTAAATAAAAAATATTTAAATGATATTCAATAAAAAAAAAAAAAGAAAATATAAACCTTTTGCAGTAAGAAATGATGTCATATGTTCAAAACTAGCATTTTCAGGTATATCATATGTTTTACGCATTTCCTTAAGTGAAAAATCATCAGCTAAAACAAAAAAAAATAAAAATTCTATAAAACTTTGTTTGTTATTAATACCATCACGAAATTCTTGTTTTCCATCAATAAATAATTTACGACCAACAACTTTAACACTTAAATCTTCTGGTTTATAACCATTTACATCTAATGTAACACGAAATTTATCCGTATGAGATCGTTTTTTATGACCTGTAACTGGACAAAGTTCTCGTTGAAGACGTGGTGGATCTTGTAACCATCTGCACAACAAAAATAGAAAAACGAATTGCTATAGAAATTTGAAAAAAAAAATTCGTTTGTTTTTATTTTTTTTTTTTGATATATACTGAAGAGCACTTTGCATTCGATGTGAAGCTAAATCAATTTCATCGAATGGATCAAATAAATCAAGTGATGGACCTTTAAGACAAAAAAAAAAGATTTTCTAATTAAAAAAAAATTTAGACATTGACGAACCGAGAAAATTTTCGAAATCAAAAAGTTGTCGTGGAAAACGACCAACTGGTAAATTATGACGATCTTGTGAACCATGTAATTGTGACATGATGCTATAGAAATAGTAGTTACTCTTAACTAAGATAACGATCGAATGAACATTTTAACGCGCCTTTATATGAATATATTTCTCTCATTTTTTTTCTCTCATTCTCTTTTCTTTTGTTTTCATTATTGTGACCTCATTTTGACCAATAGTTGAAAGCCGAGGACAATTAAAGTTACTTAGTATAGTATTGACATAGATCGATTTCGAATCAAATAACCGACGGACAAATCGACGACGTCTATGTTTTTTGATATTTATAGGCAGAGAGAGAGACAAACAAAGAAATGTGTGTACACAATACATGTAACTAACAATATGTGTTTACAATAGAATAGCCCGTCAAGGATGATATTAGAAGAATTAAACCGTATAGCTCATTTATTAACTGTATTTGATATTGGGATTTATAAATAGTGTTAATATTTCATTATAGGTTATTTGTAATATGTCACAGGAATAAAAGATTTTTCGAAATGATTTGTCTTCATTTACTTAAACTATTTGAATAGTAACTATTTGTTATCATTAGAAGATGTATCGTGTTCTTCATTCTGTTTGCCTTGTATTTATTCTAGTCGTAAATACTACAATTATTTCGGAGATTTAATTGAAATGAATGTCATATATAAAAAAAATCTTTGTACTTTATAATATTGATTTAATTTGACCATTTTGAACTATAGAAAAATTATGCAGTCATGAAACTATTAAAAATTCATGTATTAATAGTTAGAAAAGTATGTTCTTTGCTAAATGAAATTTTGTTATAGATAAACGAAAAATATCTCAATAAAAAGAGTTGCATATGATTATTGTCCGTACAACTTAAACTTGAAAAGAACAAATCGATATTTGTCTCACATGGCGAAGAAATAGGAAAAGTTGACTTAAGGAGATCATTCTCCTTTCTGGAATTTCTGAAGAACAGCTCATCATAAATATTTGAAACTTTCAGGATAGATAGATTTCGATGAGTAAAGCAAAAATAGTCAGAGAATCCAAATTTTCAAATACTTCCTTTTTGAAAATATTTGGATCGCAAAGTCTAAAAACTGCCCCGCTTTCTCACTCCCATTAAGTCTGATAGTGCTGAAATTTTTTTAAGGATACTAGAGACTGTTTGGAATGCTTACTTCTTTTGGTTTCTTTTTATCTTCTTTTGTTCAAATAAAAAGATCAAAATACTGATTTGCAAAACAAAGTTCTAGCTCGATCGAATATATTATGTCGGAGGAACGGACTCGATTCTGGACTTTTTTTGTGTAAAAATTGGTTTCAAGAAAAACGAAAAACAAATTTTCCTGTATGTATTAAGACTTTTTTTTCTCTAACTAAAATAATCAAAATGATCTCAACACCTGCGAAATGAGAAATAATTATTTGTCATT